TTGTCAAAATTCTATCCTTAAATGCTTATAAAAAAAATTGTGCTAATGTATTTTTAATATTTTTCAACTGATGTTGTAACAATATATCAGGAGCCTTGTATTGCATTTTAACACTTTTTGGTCCAACAGATAAAACCTAATTGATATTTATAGAATAAAAAACCAGAAAAAAATTGGAAACTGAAAATGCCCGTAAACTGCTCAAAAAGAGTCAAAATATTTTCAAAATTGAATGGTGTATAGGAAATGCTAATATAAATATTCAGTGAAATTTTCATATCTACAGTTATTCGTTTTTGAATTACAATAAAATAAGGAAATCGCTACATGAGTATTCGAGTGAATATCCAATGTTGTAAAAATTTGAATTTTAAACGCTCATAAAAATTTAATTTGACTTTCTTATAGACATTTATTTCTTGATAAAGGTAGATAATCTTATAAGGAATCTTTTATTACATTTTAAAATCTTAGATTTAAAAAGAAAAATTTTTACTAATTCTTAATTCAAAATAATTTGATAATTTTCGTGATTTTTCCATATTATTTTGTCAATTTTTGGACTTTAAATGCTTATAAAAAAAAACTGTGACTAAGGATTTTTAATATTTTTCATCTGCCTTTGAAACAATATACTAGAAGCCCTCTATTACGTTTTCAAGTCTTTTTAACCAACCTGCAATACAATTTTATTGATATTTGTAGAATAAAAAACTATACAAAAAAATGGGAAACTGAAAATGTCCCTAAACAGCTCAAAATAATTAAAAATATTTTAAAAAAGGCATGGTGTATAAAAAATTCTAATATAAACAGTCTGTGAAAATGTCATATATCTACGGTCATTTGTTTTGGAGTTACACCAAAAACTAAAATCAATTTTCTCGAAAACAGATTTTGCGTAAAAATTCCCGTTTTTCCATAATTTTTCTTTTGTTTTTCACGTCGCTTTTGATAACTACTAGTAAATTTTTACTTTTGCCTGCCAAAGTACCAACTAGATTCACTTTTTTATCAGAAAAGATACTGTTGAAGAAAATCCAAGCACTTTCACTGTCCTAAAAGGTGATGACAGACACAAAAAAAAATAAAAAAACACACATTATTGTAAAATCAATACATACATCGTTCCACTCAGAATCTAATACATAATATATCTAATAATAATATTTTATTTTTATTAAGTATGATTCTCTCTAGTCACCGTACAGACATCGTACGTCCGTACTGTACCGTTCCGCAAAATATTTTAATATTTGTTTAAATATAAATAATTCACATATTTTGAACGTTTCCGTTCCGTTCATACACGTCGTAGCGAACCGACAGAGTCCGTCCGGCATTCCACTCGAAACTGTCATCAAAAACTAAAATCGATTTTATCGAAAACAAATTTTTCGTAAAAATTCCATTATTATTCTTTTGTTTTTCACGGCGTTTTTGAAAGCTATTATCGAACAAGATACTAAAGTTGAAAATCGAAGCATTATTTTCGACTACGTATCGTGTACACAGACACACACAAAAAAAAAAAAATAATAATAATAAAAATATAAAAACACACATCATTGTTAAATCAATACATTCATCGTTCCACTCACAATCTAAAATGTTAAGTCATTATAAAATATAAAGGAATTTTTGGTATTTTTTTACCTAGTCATTTTTTAAGTCATTTTTTTGGTGTTAATGAGTCATTTTAAATTTTTTTTGAGTGTATTTTTTTTGAAGATTTTTCGGTCATTAAGTTCCGGGCCCTATTTATAACCATAAACGAATCACGAGAATTATTGCACAAAATTGAATGTAAAATATTAATTAATATTACAATTCAAAACAAAATCAACTATCAACTGAGAATTGAAAAATATCAAAAATTAATATAATTTCTTAAATGTTTGATAACGTATGCGACTACACTTTGTCACCGTTTTTTTACCAGTCGACAAATAGTCGACTTTCTTATTCGCTCGACTAAAGTCATAGCCCATAGGTACTTACCTGCACAGTTATTCAAGAACGACAAATTATTATTTATTTGTAATTATAATTGTTATAAAGTGTATCACGATTTGACGATACCACGTTTTTGCGTTAATTTATTGTGACATTGCAACTTTTTTCATACGAATATTCTTATTATATATTAATATATTTACATACTATTTTATGTACTTCTTCTAAATTATAGACTTTAATAATAATAATAATAATAACAACACGTACCTACCTACCAAAGGTGGTAGTTTTAAGTATTGTACTGTCATCTGTTGTGACGTGTCAGTGGCGTCCGCGAGGGGGGGGGGAGGCGTAATGGGCTGAAGCCCCCTCCCCATTGCCCGTATTATTATTACATTAAAAAAAAATATTTATCAAGTTTCAACTGTCAAATAAGACGTAAATTTCATATACAGTAGAACTTCGATTAACCGTCACTCTCTGTTATCCGTCATCGGTCACCGCCGAAAAAAAAAATAATTAGACGATCGCGATAAACTCGTGCCCAACACAGTAACTATCAAGTGCTACAAAATGCTACGCAAGTCTTACTTCTACGTCAAATACGTAATATTGCTGCTAAAAAAGCTAGAGAATCAAAAAAACAAACTAAAATGACAGATTTTTTATTATAATGTGTGTGGTATGTATGTTTATAATTTGTTACAATGTAAGTATTTTTTTTTTTTTTAAAGTACACACGTAAAACATGATAAATATAAAATATAATAAATGTGTGTATGTATATGTATTTACACGTTTTTTTTTGCAAAATTTCCGTTAACCGTCTATTCGATTAACCGTCATAGCCCCGGTCCCGACAGTGACGGTTAATCGAAGTTCTACTGTATATGTCTTACCAGAATGAATTCATTTTTGAAAAAACAATGTTTTTGCATAACAATTTTCATAAATTATCTGTAATTTTTCGGTAAAAGTATGAACTACCTACTTGTATGAAAGACCTCGTATTAAATTGTCTAGCCTTACTGCCTCAGCTATACACATTTAATATTTTATAAGTTTGAACTACAAATCAACAGTGGTTTTGACAAAATTTGAATTTTAAATGATTATAAAAAATAATCATGATGCCTATATATGTATCGTTAAAACTTTAGCTATAATAAAAACTTACTTATTACATTTGTAAGCTTTTTGACCGGATAAATAAATTTTTATTGACATTTATAGAAAAAAAAATTTCAATTAATCAAATACAATCCAAGCTGGTTAGCCGGTTAGGTACCAAACAATTTTAATTAATTCTAATTTTTTTCTCCAATTATTTTGAAAAGCACTGAACATCTTTAATTCCGACCTCCTAAAAGTACCAAACTAGATCCAATTTGCTTCCAAAAGCATACATCGGGGCATCGAAGTTCACGATCAGAGCATTTTTTCTACAAGAAAAGTCGAGAAGTTACAAACATTTTAAAATAGGTACCTACCTCAAATAAACGTCTGAAATTATTAGACTGGACATAATAAAAATGAAATTGTAACTAATTTACAAGCCCCCCCCCCTTCCCATTGAAAAATCCTGCGTACGCCGCAGCGACGTGTGGTTTGTGTTGAGGGGCCTAATCACTACGTCTCTTTTTTGTCAAAAACAACTGTTTCTAATTCCAACGATACGTGTCGAAAATTATAGCGATTTTCATTCGGAAAAAGATTGTCCTTAATATATACGAGGGAACGATCGAGCCACTGACTATATTTCATCATTGATGTTTAAACTACACACGATTATTATTAACGTGTTTGTTTTTAAAAGTCACAATACGTACACAGTACACATAATTAACATAGGTATTCATTAAACAAACAAATTTTGTTTTATATTATTTTGTTAGTTAATTAGACTTTCATTTTTAGGTTTCCATAGGGAGATCCTCATGTTCAGAAAATATGGCTGGAAAAGTGTAAACGGGGAGACACCTGTTATCCCGGTAAATCTGACATATTTTGTTCCTAACATTTCAAATCAGAAGAGGATGTTTGTGTTTCAAACAAACTATAGCTGAATTTACTTACTTCAAAAGTAAATTAAATGAATTGTTTGCTTTGGGTATGATTTCATTATAAACCTATAGTGGTTGGCAAGTTAAGTCCCACATATCTTTAGCTTACATAGTGTACCTACGAATTAGCAAAAATAAAAAAATAAATTCCATTTTAAATTCTATAAAGCGTGTTGTTAAAGGAAACAATTGTATAACAATAAAACAATTAGAATATAATATAAAAACAAAATATATACTGCACATAGAGTATAAATTAAAATCAACATCCTGGATAAAAAAATATCATTTAATATTTTCAATAATATTATTAATTTGAGTACAAAAGTTTATAGATAATTAAAGATGCGATATTTTTCATTAGCGTGCATAAAAGACAGTTAGTTAAGGAATGCAGAAGAGAGGGAATAATTTATGAGACAAGAGTTCAATAACTGTAGGCGATAATTACATTCAAATGTCACAAATTTGTCAGAAAATGGGCGAATATCGATAATATCATTATTTTTCTATACGGTTCCATTAAGATTCATTATTTTACTTAATATAATTTGCTTATAATTTTATTTTTCATGCAACCTTATACAATTTGGATATTATTTTTTGTTTTAAATAATTGTTCTTTAATTTTAGTGACATTGCTTATTTTTTTGGACTGAGATGAGTTATGATATAGTCTATTTAGGAAATTACATATATTAGGTACTCTTATAATATAATAATAACATTAATAACATTTAATAACATTTAATAACATAAAAAACAAAAATTTGTTGTAGATTTTTCTATAATTTTTTTATTTAACATTGTGGTCATAACAGTAATTTTTATTTTTATATATAGTAACACTTTGTAACAAAACAAAAATTAAAATTAAAGAAATACTTTGGTTATGGTAGAATTCATTATATCTAAAAAGTTGTTTGCGGATGCTAAAACAAATAAATAAATTGTGATTTAATGCAATAGAATTTTCATCTAAAAACCACCACCACTTCTTTCCACACTGATTTTGCTTTGAGTTTTGTTATGGAATTCTTCTAATTCGGCCATTCTTGCAAAACGAGAGTGGGATATATGACCAGATTTAAGTGCCGACATCATCTAACATAAAACACATCTTATATAAAATATATTAATATGTCATCACACAAAACTACTAAAATTATATAAATCAAACATTACAAAAAACTCAAAAAAAAAAAAAACTCAAAAAACATTTTTAGTTTCATTTCAGGTTTTAAGTCAGCGGTTCTTAAACTTACACGGACCTCCATATCAATTCCTTTTTTTTTTTTAACAAAATATCATGTTATCATAATCAATATTTCAATACTTATTTTATATTAAAAATCATATAAGTATGTACATAAAAACATACACTTTTATTGCACATAATTTTTCATAAAAATGTAATATTTTATTTTTAGATAGAGCCGTAGTGGACCTGGAGCAGAATGTTGCTGACCACAGTTTAAGAACCGCTGTTTTAAGGAATGTTTGAAGCGATTAATATTAAATGTATACCTGTAAGTATTCATCCAGCTCAACCTGGCCATTCATATTGGTGTCTATTTCTTTCAAAATTTCATGAAGCTCATCTCCAGTTACATTTTCACCAGCATTCTGTTTTAAAATATAAGACAGTATAATTTGTAATCACATCAGATAAAATAATTGATAAAAATAAATACCTTCATACTCCTACGAATGTCATTGATGGAAACATATCCTTTGTGATCATGATCAAGAATCTGGAATCTCTTTACATACATTTTGACCTCTTCCTGGGATAGAGTAATTGGAATTTTGTCTCGAGATGCTCTGTTCACGCTCATGCCCATTTCAGTGGCCAAGAAATGGTTGGCCATTTTCAATTGTTTCTAAATATTGTTACATAATTCATTAATTATTAATAACTTATTAAGTTGTAAAACTATCAAATATCTAACCTCCTTTTCATCATCACTCCAATTTAATTCTTCGGCCATAATGTTTACAATAGTTGGAAGTGCTTCTTGAGCAGCTTGTACATTCAGGAATGCCAATCGTAAACGTCTAGCAATCATATCAACAGCCGTAACAGCGTATTCTCTAACTCCATAACGAATCTTTTAAACAAAAATCGATTTTATAAATTATATACAGAAAATTGTTAGGTATATGTATAATTGTAATGTTTTATTACCTCAGCATCAATGTATGGAAATTCAGGGTGAATTTTATTACCGATTACTGGCCAACGTTTTCCAGTGAGGTTAGCTAATTTAGCTACAGCAAATGCTCTGTCACCATATGACGTAGCTAAATGTTGAGCGACTTCACATTCCAAACCAAAATCTTGCACTAATCTTATGTACATTGTTGGTGTCCATCCATGTGCACCTTCTAATTGAAGACCATCTGTTTGACATTCTGGTTTTGTTGGTTTCAATTCCGGGACAGCTGTAAAAAAACAATCGTATGTTACATAAATACAATATTTTATAGTTAAAAAAAAAATTTTATAAACCTTGTATTGCAGCATCAATAGTTTCCTGAGCCATAGCTCTATAGGTAGTCCACTTTCCTCCAGCAATTGTTACTAAATTAGATTTGCTTACATGAACAATATGATTACGTGCCAATGACTGAGTGTCACCTTTGTTTGGATCCGACACTAATGGACGAATACCACCCCAAGCACTTAAAACATCACCTCGGCGTACTAAAATCAATTTTTAAATATTAATGTATAAAAAATAGTTAGGTTATACATCAAAGTATACATTTCAAAAGCTCAATTTGATGGCATACCTTCGACATCTGAGTTAAGATAATTTTTTATTTCGTTCAATATGAATGAAATTTCATCTTCTGTAGGTGTGGGATTATAAGTTACAGCACATGGGCTGTCTGTGGTACCTGATAGTGTATGTTTTTGCCACGGTAAAAAGAATATAACACGGCCATCAGATGTTTCAGGATCCAAAAGTCCCATTTGCTCAGGGCTATTAAAATGAGAAATATGTTTAAATCAAAATTACACTATATTAGGATTTTTTTAAATTACCTGTAATAACCAGGTAATACAATGTGTACACCTTTACTAGGAGTACATATTTCCTTGACATTGGTATCGTCCATTTTCCTTACAGAATCAGTAAAAGGCCCAGCAGCATTTATGATACACTTTGCTTTAACATCCCATTCTTTTCCAGTGAGTTCATCTCGGAGGTGTGCACCACAAATTTTTCCTTTATCGTCTTTAATAATATGAATTGCTTTTACATGATTTGCTACTGTGGCACCATAACGAGTTGCCGTCAGCGCTAAGGCAAGGCACATTCTAGCGTCGTCTTGTTGGCCTAAAATATAACAAACCCATGAAACAACTAAACAAACTAAACAATTGCATTGTCATTACCGTCGTGATATACAATAGCTCCAACCAATTTATCTTTTTTAAGCATGGGAAATATTTCTAATGCTTCAGTTTTGGTTAAATAATAAGAACTTTTAACTGTTTTTGAACCTGCTACAAGATCATATGCCTTAATACCGACCCAGTAGTAAGGAACTTTCCACCACCTATATAATCATAAGAAATAGTGAAAACATGTAAATTATATAAAAGAACTAGAACATACTCATAAACTGGTAACATGATTGGTATTGCATGGGTTAAATGGGGAGCCGTCTTAAGCATTGTTGCTCGCTCATGCAATGCTTCTTTGACCATTTTGTATTGTTCCAAATCTAAATTAAGTATTGCTTTTTGCAAATAACGTACACCACCATGGATGAGTTTTGTGCTGCGACTTGATGTACCTGACGCAAAATCGTCTAACTCGACCAATGCAGTTTTTAAACCTGAAAATCATTATTTAAAGGTCTTAACAGTTTAAATAAAATATACAATTACGTTCTACATTTAAATTTGAAATTTAAAATTCGCTCATAAGTTTTACATTAAATATCTTACCTCGTGTGACTGAGTCTATAGCACAGCCAGCCCCGGTTGCACCACCTCCAATAATTAGGACGTCAAATTCTTCTGAATTTAAAGATTGAATTTGAGTACTTCTTGGAGGTAATGTCCGTAATCTTCCAGTTTTTTTACCGGCTTCCGCTTGCACCGTTTGCAATTGCTTCAGTGAAAAATAAATAAATTTCATTATATGTATCACAAGTAATGATGAAATGTATTTACTTAAAATATATTTTTATATTTTTTAAGAACAAAACATTTTCATATACAAACAAATTGATACCTACTTTCTGTAGTATACACCTAATATTTTTATTTAACAAATACACATCCAAAATGTAAATATCTATAAGTGCCTACTTCAAGGGCGCACCCATGGGGGGGGGCTAATAGGCTTAAGCCAACCCCCCAAAATGGCTTGGCCCTAAAATTTTGATAATTTTATTAAGTACATTGACTTAAAATTATTATAAAAAAAAATTTTCAACTATCAAAATTGAAGCATTAAGTATAACATAATATTATATATTTATACCTGTCATTCTGGGTCCCGGGAGAGATTAAATACTATTAATATTTGAAAATGATTTAATTTAGCCACCCCCCCCCCCCAACAAAAAAAAAAATCCTGGGTGCGCCCCTTACCTACTTATCTAGATAAAAATTTCAATAACAATAAAATAGTAATAAAACAAAAGTAATAGGTACATACTGTTGGATTTTCTCCAGTCAATAACCATGTAGTGAAATATGCCCCAGCACTAACTGAAGCACCACCAACAATTATATTATAAAGTTTTGACGCCATTATGTAACCTAAAACAAAAATTTAATTTAATTAGTTATTTACATAATATTATAGGTAACTGTTTTGAAATATCATCTACTAGAAGTCAAAATCAAAACACTGGAAACACTCAAGATTTTACTAACTTCAGTCTAATAATTGTATATACCGCCTATTTTGGACATATTTTAGCACTGTACAATGAATGTGATAAGTGATTTTCAATGCATGATTGAAATATACAAACACATGATTAAATAATTTTAGAGTTAACGGTCTAAATCAAAATATTTAAATTAAATAAACAAACGGTGTTGTTTAAAATTCTGAAGCAGATTTACTAATTGGAATTAGGCCAGATACTTTTTTTAGCAGACCTTTAGATTAACTGCCAAAAGTCACATCACGTTATGTATAATATACTAATACTCATATATCTATATAGTTAACAAATTTTAAATATAAAACTTCTTACATAAATAATAGGAGCCAGGAGGAACCTACTACATTTTTTTAAGTCAATGTGACATTGAATGATATTGAACTTGTTTTCAAATTTCAAACACTCACAAAACCACAGAAGAAACCCAATGATCACGTTTTCATATTTGTTATTTGTAGATTAACATAAATAGTTTACGTTCTCAAGACCCAATAAAACAAATTGTGACCTCTGATTGAATGTAAATATCTATCTACACGCTATCATTCATCACTCGTCAGAACCTATTTAGTCAGATGACATCATTAGGCAATATATTTAATTAAAGAATTAGTTTAATAATAATTTGAAAGATTATCTGTATTTTAATACAGCAATAAGTAATCGATATTAAGCCATTAAAATAAAATTTAATTTTTAATTATTATAAGAAGATAATAGGTATTATATTATGTCAGTTTGTATTAATGGGTACGCGCACACGGCTATACATAAATTAAAGAAATTTTCACAGGTTTAAATAAATTAAAAATCAATATTCATATTTAGTTTGTAATTATCGGAGCAATTATTACGCTCATTAATATAATACGACTTGGTATTAAATTAGCCAACTACATAATATTGTAATTAATGCAATTTGTCAATAACCAACAGAAATAGAATAAATTAATATTGATAGGTACAACAAAAGTACACAACTCGTTATTATTTGTTTCAAGTGTGTCGATTATAAATTTCTAATAGCTACGAAACAATGTTGTAAGCCTACCACAGTACACTTTAATATAATATGTAAATTAGGTATTAAAATGTGCACATTACGTGAAATAATATTATTATAGCACATTTAGCACATATATCGTACCTAACTAATCAAGAAAAACAAAAACAATAATTATTCAAATCGAGTGTGGATTAGTATTGGTACTTAGTTAGCTGACAAACTAAAAGCCAGAATTAGTTTTTTTTATCTTTAAGTAGGTATTGGTTGTTAAATACCTGTAGCTACCTATATTGCTATTTTACTTTTACCGAATAGTAAATACTTTTACTGTATTATATTAGTATATTATATTAACTGCATCGTGATCACTTGTTTGCGGGTAATTAATTTTACCGATTCCACTGATTATAATAATTATTGATCTTCTTTTCACCGTGGGAATTTGAAATTTAGAATCGTATTCATGATATAGGTAATCGTGTTAAAATTTCACCTACATTGCACACGCAATTAGCCTAGGCCTGAAATAATAAACGATTTCCGAAGTCAATGGAAATGTTTTTTTACTTGTTTTTTGTCGTTTTAAGAACACAGTAGGTAATTTAGCTTCGAGGATAAGCCTTGGAATATATTATTATTTACTAATACTTATCTAACAACCCACGACAACAAAAACGTGTCAATCTCGTGTCATAAGCATTGTTCGTGTTTAAAACATTTGTCATGGGTACCTACCTACCTACCGTTCGAATAAATCAACACTAATTACTTATGCGTACCAAAAAACTACGAGGAATGAAATTTTACTTTAAACAGGTAGTAGTACGTCTATCCAGAGTCAAGTCTCGGAGATGTAGGTACACACAAGTACCAAAGTCCCTTCAAAAGTCAGATTACCGTCTACAACTATCCAACGCATTTTGTATTCAATTTTTATTTATTTATTTCACACACCTTCATGAAAAATTCAAAATTCAAAACGATTAAATGTTATTACCTACCTACCTACTGGTCGAATAAATCAACACTAATTACTTATGCGTACCAAAAAATACGAGGAATGAAATTTTACTTTAAACAGGTAGTAGTACGTCTATCCAGAGTCGAGTCTCGGAGATGTAGGTACACACAAGTACCAATGTCCCTTCAAAAGTCAGATTACCGTCTACAACTATCCAACGCATATTGCATTCAATTTTTATTTATTTTTTTCGCACACCTTCATGAAAAATGAAAAATTCAAAACGATTAAATGTTATTAGCTATTACAGAGAGCGTTTGTGATTGCAGCGGACAACTTTTGGGTGACAAAATGTTTACAGAGACACAAATAGGTACCTAGCTAAGTTTTACATTTTGAGTGCGACGTACAATGTCTTGCCTGTGGCAATAATAAATCGACGTGGGCAGGTTTGTGAAATAATAATCAATCCAATGTCCGTCCCTACGGATTAAAATCATCGAAAAATGTCAATGCCAAATACCAAGGCGATTACAGAACGGATTATAACAACGTCTGGGCAAAGGGAAATAATATGTTATCGATTAATGTCGAGTGGTGTAACTAGGTACGTGAAAAAATTTATTTTGTCCGATAATTTGGACTTTGGTGTTATGGGGTAGCGATTTAGTATATATTTTTTTTGTCCGGCCTACACCGGACGGTTTTACAATTTGCATAAAATTTCAAATTTTTTTTTGAAATGTAGACAGTCAGTAACCTGATGTAGTCGGTACTCGGTAACCTTTGGTGTCCCCGAATATACTAGGCAGAGGTAGTCGGCCACTCGGGTAATTAAATCGATACAGGTATTTTTCGACGAAAACAACAGGTAGGCAGATGCCTAATAATGGCTGATCGTACGAGATTGTTGAGCCAAGGTCGTTTTTGGCGCAACAAATCGGACGAAAAAATTATAATAAAAATCGTAAAACAGGTATACCTGGTGCGATTGTCGGCAAAAATAAAAACGCAAAATTCGCTGGCAGACCACTCGTCGGTCGGTCGGACTGGGCGCCGGGCACGGAATTAAAATAATAATCGTGTTAATCAAACGATAATATTATTTGAAGAAAAAAAAAATATTAATAATAATATTATTATTAAGACAACGATAATATTATGCTCGTTGCGATGGACGAAAACCGTACACAGTTGTCGCAATAATTAATTACGGTACGTCCGGATAATATCATGATATAGTACTATTAATTAATTTAGACACGATCCGGGAACCGGTAAATTGCGCCGAAACTGAACGGCGGCGACGGTGACGACCTGCGTAACGCGACGAACACGTCCGGAACACGACTGGTGACTGGCGAGCGCTGAGCGACTGAGCTTGCTGAGCGCGGCGCGCCGACGAGTACTTACGCGAGTAACACGATCGCTCGTATCACTGACCAGCGCGGGCCGAGAAAAAAAAACCCCGATCGGCGATAACACAATGATATCGATGGCTTATCTTTCGTTATCGGCAAACCAAACGTTGCCGACGGTTTTGGAGGGGAATCGACGTCGCGGCGCCAGACGACAGTGCGTGCGGCGCGCGGCGGCGGCGGGCCGTGTTATCACCGCGGGGCGGAGTGTGCGGGCGCCGCCGCCCACCGATCAGACAGGACGGACAGTCACGGCTGGCGATCGGCAAACAGGATTAATTCGGGTACCGAAAAATGTTGTACAATATTATTATCGTTGTCGCCTCGGCAGGCGCCGGACGGCGAAACGAACGATGACGATAATATTATTATTATTGTTATTTAGCGATAGGTATTACTGTAATATTATTATCGTCGCTCGCTCTCGTCCGATATCGATCGTCGCGAGGTCAACGTTGTCGGAGGCGTGGGCGGCAGACGGGTGGGAGGGGCCCGGGGAGCAGAAATCGCGATCAAAAGCAAATAATAATAATAACAATAATCGTGCTACGTTATTACTATTATTTCGTTTTAAAAATATATTGTAATAATAATAATAATAATTAATAATAATATTATATTATTGTGACCGGCGGCGGGTACTCACCCCGTTTGTGAGCCTGTGTCGGTCATGCAGTCGGGCGGCGGCGGCGGCGACGGTGACGGTGATCGGTGGTCGGCACTCGACTGGCGGCGGTGGCCGAGTTTTTAAAAATAAACGACCGGCGGGCGCGACGGTTGTCCGCGGTCGGCGGCGGCGGAGCGCGAAAAAAAAATATAATATTATTATCAAAACGATTCTTTTCTCTCTTTCCCCTCCGCGCACGCTCGCGACCGACGTCCTCTGCTGCGGCGGCGGCTTTGGCGGCTCGACGTGACATTGGGGGGCCCCGAAGAAAAAATTACATCAGACTCGGCGGCGCGCAAGCGCGCGAATACCTGTGCACGCCGCGCTCGTACCATTCCGCGACGGTGTACGCGCGCGGAGCGCGATCGTCGTGCGCGGAATGTAATTTTCGCATAAAATATAATATTATTACGTACGCGTTTGCACGCCCGGCCGACTGCCAGCGGTGTCTTGTGACTGCAGCTCGTAAGCCGCAGCCCCTATTTTTCAAAAAAATTCGTTATTTACATTTTATTATTAAACACTTATTTTATTATTAAACACTTTATTTACAATGATATTTTGACACAGTGACAAAGAGGACCAAGAATTTAAATTTAAATTGATATATTGTTCGGTAAAATATGGGGCATAACTTTTTATACATTTAAAAGAGTCAAAATCATAACACAGAAATAACTAAAGGTATCCAACCTTCATAATAGTTCATTAGCGACTCAATGTAGAGAAGTATAAATATCAATTTGTTAAAATGGAACTGAAAACAATTTATTTTTGGTACCTATACCTACCTATCATAAAAGATTTTCATTTTTTGAAATTATTTTTTAATTTTATGTAGGTATACTTGGTGTAATATTAGTATACTACATAATAATATGTACTATGTAGATATACTATATTGTACATTATTACCTACCAAATATAATCTATTTATTTTTATAGTCTTATTCATAAATTCATTAGTACACACTTATCATATCCGTAGTGCACACTTCTAACTTCAGACTACACTTTGTTTCGGGGTTCACTAAGAAATAATGCCTGTCGTAAGGTGAGAGTGAAATACAAAACACTCGGAAAAGTACCTATTTTGAATATTACCTTTGAAAAAAGCACTTGGACAAAGCATCCGTACCTATATTTAAAATCCAATAATAATTTTCAAACAAAAATACGTACGCGTTCTTTTCGGTTAATATCATATTTTTAATTTTATACATTTTATTTTCGGTCACATTCAAAAACCGCACACGCTCTTATCAGTCACGGTATAACTAAACTTATGTGGTCTTTACTTAAGTGGTCAGTGGGTCAAAATAGCACACTATTTTTTGTGCTAAATAATACGGATGAGATAATAGGATAATAAAATACCATACAATAATCGGTAAGACTACAATATTATACTCACAACCACATGCAAATGGTTGAACAAATATTTTTTAAACGTTAATTAGTATCTACAATTAATATTTAATTACAAATACGTATATTATATTCTATTCTATTCTATTATATTGTTAAAAAAATTGTGCATTATAAATAATATTTTTTTTTAAATTACGATGATATATCATATTCAACTTAACTAACTTGACAACTTCATAAATAGGTATAGTATATATAAAAACATTTCGGATGATCGATACGTCAAATAATACAGGTAAATAATACAAAAATATTAAACAAAATATAGTTAATAATAATGATATAAATAAATAACTATAAATAATTTTTGAAAAATTAACAATTACATTTTATATTACTATATTAATACACATTTTATGTTGGTATAATTCTGTAAAAATTAAATCCCTGAAATAAAATATTACGTTTTCAAAACTTCAAATGTTAGGTAGGTACTTATGAGTGTACTGTGTACACAAATATTTAAAGTATAAAAATATTTCGAGTGATCGATACGTTAAATAATACAGTTCAAAACAATAGTAGGTATCCAAAAATATTATACAAATTTATTGCAAATATAGGTGGTGATAATAAATAATAATAATAATAATAATAATAATAATAATAATAATAATAATAATAATAATAATAATAATAATTATAATAATTATAATTATAATTATAATCATAGTAAAATAATTATCAAACAATAATTTATTGAATGTAGTCACCGACTCACAGTAAAATATAAAATAGTAATGATAATAGTAATAATAATAATAAAATAATGATCAAACAATAGTTAGAAATAGTCAGTCCTGTAAAGTATTTGAGTAAAAGTATTTGAGTAAAAGTATTCAAATACTTTTTTAAGTATTGAATAACTTTTTAAATACTTTCAGCATGAAGTATTTTGAATGGTATTTTAAATACTTTTATTTGTATTGAATACTTTTTGGTATTGAATACTTTGGTTTTTTATTTCGAACATTTTATTTTTATTCGAAATAATTGGTTGGAAAAATATTATTGTCAACTACAAAAATAGAATAATAGTTTTATTTGGTATTTTGTATTTCTGTGTTAGCCGAAGCCCGAAGGTTTGTAAAAACCCGATTTCTAAAAATAGTTATTGAATAACAATATTCCCTTTAAATTATGTTGATAATATCAGATACAATGCCTGCCTTAATGGTTATTGGTTATGCTGGATTACGGGAATACGGCGAATAATATAGATTATTCCACTATAATCTATATTAGTGCAGCCTGCATGCCTACAGCTGCAACGTTTTATTTATTAATTTAAAGACTTGTGTAGTAACTAGTAGTGTCAGTCTGTCTGTTGATTGTTGAAAGTGTTTAAGTGTGATAATATTTGTGTAGGTATTAGGTAATTTAGTAATTATAAATACTAATTACTTTTAGTTCTAAGTTTCTAACTTCTTACTTCTAATAATTAATATGAGTAATAGTGATGAGGAACCGCAAAATCTGCAAAATCTGCAAAATTTTTCTTTACCGTGGCCAAATTATTCGAAGTATTTTAAAGTGCAACGAGTAATAGAGGATATGTTTTTTTATAAAAAACTAGAAATTAAATGTTTGATCTGTGTGGGAACCAAAGTTCTCAAAGTTGATACACGATCAAACTCTAACTTACGAAAACATTTAAATGTAAGTACCTACCTATCTATAATACCTAGCATATAAATATATTTATATACTCAATAAATTATTATTTATTTAAATATTATTATTATTAATTGATGATAATATTTAATATATTACATACCAGATGTCCAGTTAGCAGATACGTATAAAAAATATACGTTTTTAATTACCTAATAATTATTAATTTATCTGTTTTTAATTATTTTATTAGTTTGACCGTTCATATTTTCAAACATTATAATTAAATTATTGAGTATTTACCTATTCAATCTGTAATAATATTTATTTGTATGCATGTTAAAATATAGAGTAAGCATTTGCAAATTTTGAAAAAAATTGATGGTATAAATACAATTGAAAATGAAAATGCTCACAAAAAAATTAAATTGTGCAACAAAACATTAGACGTGAACACTCAGCCTTGTGTTGATGATTTTATGAATAAAAATTTTACTAGCCAAGGCAAGTATCGTTTTATAACATTTTATGTTAACAATAAAAAAAAAAATAAATAATTATTAAATTCAAGTGGATTTGGCCGTTAACTGTAAACTAAAATACCTATTCAAAAAGTTTTAAAATATTAAGCTTCTATTAGTTCAATTTTATTTTATTATATTTTAGGTACTTTAGATCATCTTTTACAACGTTTTATTGTAAGTGCTGGTATACCTTTCTCTATAATAGAAAATCCTGTTCTAAAAGAAATTATAGAGAGAGGTTTTCCAAATAAGAAATTAATGTCAAGACCAACCCTGATGAAGCGAATTGAAATTGAATATAAGTCATTAATGAATCAAATAAAGACAGATATGTCAAATTGTTTTCATATTGCTACTACAGCAGATGCGTGGTCAATTTTTAAAAAGTATTTCATTATTATTTTTATTTTATTATTTCACATATTATTTGTAATTTAATAATTTTACAATATATACATTTTTAGGTCATACATAGGTATTACAGCATCGTGGATTAATGACGACTTATCCAGAACTACATGTTTACTAGCAATTAAACGACTTCAAGGTATTCATACATATGAAGTTTTAGCAAAAGCGATGGATAGTGTGTATGTCACATTTGATATTACAGACAAAATTGATTTCTCTACTACTGACAATGGGTCTAATTTTGTTAAGAGCTTTAAGTAAGTTTAAAAAATGTTCTTAAATTTAATTATCTTAATTAAACGGATTAATACAGATTTTATAAAATTTTTAGAGTATATGGTAATTTATTTGATGATATGGATGGTAATGAAAACCAATGTATTCTTGAAGATAATGACGATAATGAAACCAATCAAGTAGAAGCAATAGATTTAAACGTGTTGGTGAATGGTATAGACATAGAAGATAAAAGTTTACCTTACTCTTTACCTAGACATCATAGATGTTCAGCTCATACATTGAATTTAATTTCAACCACGGTACTTAATTATCTTTATTTTTATTTATTATAATTTATGTGGTACATTATACATTTATACCTACTTGTATATTATTTTTAGGATTTAAAAAAAGCTTTGTTGGATGGAAGTTATAAAAAGCAATCTAGGAGTACATTTTCCAAGTGTTATGCTCTTTGGAACACACAAGGACGGTCAACCAAGTCAGCTGATGCCATAAAAAAATGTTGTGGTAGATACTTAAAAACACCCAACGCCACTCGTTGGAATTCTCTCTTTGATGCTGTAGTATGTCTTAACAAATTATTAAAGCTGAATGAATCAAAATTCAGGCTATTAATGGATGAACTAGTCATAGTGAGGTAAATGTTACTTTTTCTTTATAATTATGGTAGTTATAAAAATGACATTATTCGAATTTCACTAACTAATTGTTTTGTTTAATCTAGATTCAATCGTAATGATATTGATTTTTTGACTAATTACCAGATAGTTATGGAACCTTTATCAATTAGTTTGGATATATTGCAAGGTGAAAATAACATGTTCTTTGGGTACTTGGTTCCAACTATTGTTCAATTAACTTCCAAATATCAACAAATGACTCAAAGTCATACTTTACTGAAATGTGTTCAACCTCTTCTTACTGCCATATTAGATGGTAAACAATTAAAAATATTATAATTAAAACATAATGATACATTGATACTATAGATAGTATCTATAATTTATACATATTTAAAAAATTTTAATTATAATTTGATTTTACCATTTTAGGCATTCAAAAAAGGTTTGATGATTTGTTGAATGATAAATTTCTTATCATAGCTGCTTTAAGCCACCCTTCATTTAAGACAGCTTGGATAAAAGATGAAGTAAAAAAACAGTTAGCTGTAGGATATTTTAAAAAGGCATGTTTAGATGAGTTCAATGAGACGGCCACACAAAATGAAGATAATACATTTGAGATTGAAACTGTTGAAAAGAATGTGGAAGATCCTTCTTCTAATTTTTTTCAGTTTTGGTCTCAAACCTTTGATGATGACCATCACTATGATTCTATTTTAAATAAAGAAATGGATCAATATTTGGGAACATCACCGACCAAAGATTTAAACAGTTTAAATATTTTACCGACAATTAAAAAAGTAAGAATTGCTACTGACTTTTTAATGTTTGTAATATTTTTTGTATAGGTATTATTCATTGATTTTTAGTATTAGTATTTACTATTTAATATTAACATTTACATAATTAAAATAGGTTTTCATTAAATTCAATACACCGCTTCCAAGCAGTGCTTCAGTGGAGCGGGTATTTAGTGTGGGTGGAGCAACCATGACCAAAAAAAGAAGCAGTATGACCGATGAAAATTTTGAATACATTATGTTTTTAAAATGTAATAAACATTTATTTAATAAAAAATAAATTAAAATTATTATAAATCTAATACCTATGTGTCTATATTACGATAATTAGAAACCCACTTTAAAAACCAAAAGTATTTGAAAAGTATTCCAAATACTTTTTCAAAGTATTTGAGTAGTATTTGAAATACTATACAATTAAAGTATTTGAGTAGTATCTTAAATACTTAAAAAAAAATGTATTTGAGTACTTACTCAAGTACTTTTCAAAAGTATTCTTTACAGGACTGGAAATAGTTAATTAGTTTAATTAGTTAGTAATATAGCATAGAAAAATGAATAGGTACTCACTGCCAGCAGTAAATTATTATATTGCTTTATAATATTAACCAATATTTTCTTATTTTAATAATTAATTTTTTGAATGAAATTAAAACATAGTAATTACTACCTATATATAAAATATAGTAATATATATAATTTAGTTAAGATTTGGTTTATTGATTTATGTTGCATTTGAACCATACGAATTATTGTTTCCAAGGTTTTTTTTTATTTTTAACAGGTTTTTATGAAAAATCTATTTTATCTATTACTTAAACTAACTTGGGGCAGTGTTTGTTACATTTTTAAAAAACACTAGACAGTTGTCCGAATTTAACAAATATATTTTGTACCTGGTGAGTACCTACTTATATATTAACATATAAAAAAAAATTAAAACATTCTTGTTGACCAATTAACTAAGTCTTTTTACTGTAATTAGGTAGGTGCCTCGTGCCTACGTTTAATAAATTATTGTTTGATAACTATTATTATTATCACCTTTATTTTGTATAGTATTTTTGTATACCGTGTTTTTAACTGTATATTATTTGACTTGTCGATCATTCGAAATATTTTTATATGCTATATTTGTGAAGTTGTTAAGTTGAATCATTTATAATTTTTTTAATAATATAATATACGTATTTCAATATTTGCAATTAAATATTAACTGAAGATACTAATCGACGTTTAAAAAATATTTGTTCAACCATTTGCACGTGGTTGTGAGTAATATTGTATTCTGGGGATTTTTTTTCCTATTACCGATTATTGTATATAGTATTTTATTATCCTATTGTATTATCCGTTATTTAGCACAAAAAATAGTGTGTGATTTCAGCCCACTGGCCACTATAAGTTCGTAGTATTAACATAGGCGTAATCTCGGGGGTGCAAAGGGGTGCACTTGCACCCCCTGGAATTGTTGAGGGGGTGCAAAACTATCATTTTGCACCCCCTAAATTTTCTATATTTATAATGTATAATTTTGCCAATTTTTTTAATATTTATAAAATAATGTTAACGTTATTAGACATTATTAGTAACACCTATAAGTTATATAATCATGAACTTCAAATAGAACTAAAAATCTTTATTAGAATATTCAAATCTAAACAAACTAACTCAAATAATAGTGTATTTTAAAACAAATTAGATTATATGAAACAAGGTGAAATTAAAAATAGGTGTCCTTTATTATCTGAAATTTTAACACTATTTATGACAATACCTACAAACACTATCATCTTGTAAACGAAGTTTTTCCTGATTACGAAGGCTTAAAACTTACCTCAGAACAACTGTGGGACAAGAATGGCTGTCTGATATAGCTATGTTACAACTTACAAATTGATAGAAATCGAGTTATAGATTCTGAAATAAATTGTAATCGACGAGTTCAATGCAGCAGCAACTGTACATGGCAGATGCTTAAGTTTAATTTAATTTTGTTAATTAAAATGTATTAATATTATATCAATGTAATAAATTACAGTGTCTACTAATATTTTAATTTATATAATAAAATGTATTTACTTCATATTATTAATGATAATACTAAATTGTGTATACAATTTTGAATTTTGATCGAGGAGCTGGTATTGAAAAAGTAGTAAATAAATGTTCAAGCGGTACCTATTTTGCAATTTTGTAGAAAGTTTGTAACTTTCCTGATTAGTTTTGCACCCCCTGAATTTTAGCGAAATTACGCCTATGAGTATTAATATTAATAATATTAATAAACGAGTCGGATTAAAATAAAAACCATAATCACTGGGATCACTGAATCATATTTTATGTATTTCAATTTCGACTACGTAAAATAGAAAAGGTGGACAAGTGGGTGTACCCCTCTGCAGCCGTACCTACAGTATAATATTATAATAGTTGTCGACCGGCCGATTGCCAGCTGTGTCTTGTGACTGCAATACTCGTAAAGTACTCGAAAAAGCACTCGAAATAGCACTCGAAAAAGTATCTATTTTGAATATTACCTTTGAAAAAAGCACTTGGACAAAGCATCTGTATCTTAATATCCAATGATAATTTGCAAACAGGTACCTCTACTCGTTCTTTTCGGTTAATATCATATATTTTATACATCATTTTAATTTCGACCACGTAAAATAAAAAAGTTGGACAGGTGGGTGTACCACTACATGTGTCATTGTAATAATATAATGTATGTGTTAAATTTTAATTCAATGAAAATCATTGAACGCACATTGTGATTCTGAGCAGAGACGGTGCAGGACGGCTTGGCATACCTTTATAAATAAATAATAATAACCAAATTTAACAACCAAAAAATTGATAAAAATCTCAAACATCTCATGTCTATACGAATAGCGTTACTTTCCGGTAAACTTGTGAGGAATCTTCTATTCGATTTTCAAACGTTAGCTATGAAAAGAAATATTTTTATGAATTTCTCACTAAAACATAATTTCCAAATTTTCGGTGTTTTGATGAATTTTGTCAACTACGTAAGGTTTTATAGTCATACAATTTACAACTGTCGTCGTTGAGTAGGTAACTGTATAATTATTTTAATACCTACGTGTTAAATTTGAATATATGCGTTGGAATCATTGCTTTCGAAAAAGAAATTTTGAGCTTAGACGATCTGTCTAAAAAAAAAAGTATAATATTTTATGATAAATAATCATTAATCATGTTACTATTAGTAATAAACTATACCTAATTTAAGTTAAGTTGAATTAGGTACATTTTGCTGAAAACCATGAATTTATTTTACTTTATTAAATAATTATATTATAATATGTAAATATTATTTTTCTAACCGATTTTGCAATATGGTCGTTTTCGTTGTCGTGGCTACTTACAAACAAAAACTTATTTATGATTCATAGAATTTCCTCGTAGAGGAATAATATCAAGTAGCGGGATATGATTTTTTTATTGAACAACTACTAAGTAGGTACCTAGTAGCATAGGATACCTATATAGCATACCTATTATAGCATAGGTACACGATACATACTATACTATTCTGTGCAGGTATATTATTGTTACTAACATTTGAGTCGATACCGACTTATTACCGTAGTGCAGCGGTGTGACTATAAAGGTTATCGTGGTAAATATTATAAAAAAAAAAATTCTAAATGTTTTGAATAATATATTGTAACATCGTACATTCGTATGAATATACCTAATAATTTACTTACTTAAAGTTTCAAATCCTCAAGTGAAATATTTTTAAATATATTACAACAAAATAACTAAACTCGTTATTCTTCGTTTGAATATCTAATTTCGTCAAAATTTTAACTTAAAAATCTTTTTAAAAAAAAAAGTATTTACATATTTTTAGATTTTTCGGTTACAGTATAATATATTATATGAACTACTTATGAGGTATTAAATTTAATATTTCAACATAGATCCCTCCCATGAATTTTTTTCAATATTTATAACAAATTGTAATTAAGTATATTCTATAACGCATTAAATTTTGTTCTATTTTTTTCCAAAAAACAACTATTGTAAATTTCGACAGAATGTCAGAATATGTTTATACGTGTTTATATAACGTGACTATATTATATTATCTAGACTCATATCTAGGAACTAGAATATTATTACTATTGTTAATATTATAGTAATTAGTAGTTGCTTACACAATATATATATTTTACAATATTACGTAGCTCCAGCCCCAGGTCATTGGTTGGTTGAAACTTGAAACATCGATTGCTTATTATTTGTCTTAACTCATAATATTTAGTTATCACCGTGATTCGTCTTTACTCTTTCGTACTTTTGTTTTCTACTGTGTGTCCGTGTGTGTAGTAAAGTGTATTACTATTATACGGTCAGTGTGTCTTGTAATATTGACTATTTTGTCTATTTTACATTTTCACAATTACTATGTCTGATAAAAGCAAAATTACTAGCTATTTCGATGCAAGTAATGCTCTACTTCTAAACGCTCGGCGGATGAACAAATAAGTAAGATCACTAATATCGTTACGGAAAATCAAGTTGTGGACTTGGCGGTAATAGTGTTCGAAATACAGTAGAAGCCGCTTATTAGAAACACTTTGGGACCAAAGTGAAATGTGTCAATTAACCGATTGTTTCTAATAAGCGATTTGTTAGGTTTGTACTATGGAAAAAAAAAAATGAAAAATACGCGGAAAATTTATTTATGTATGTATTTATTTAACTATGCGTATGTATGTATGTATATGTATATTACGATTTTCGTATTTAAAATATTTATCTTACTATATTATTTAAAATATTTATCGATCGAAGTTTGTTTTTTTGCGTCAGGTTACTCCATAACCATATTTTCATATGAATAATGCTGCTCAAAACCTATTTCATCCGCACGGTGCTGAACAGCTCTCCCGAGGACACTTAAAGCTTCTACAATTTCTAGCCTAATTGTTTCAAATAACCGATGTAATGTTTCAATAATCCGATTTATTTTTAATGTCCTGATATGCGGGCGATTCGTCCCGGTACATTTTGTTTCAATAACGCGATTGTATCAATAATCCGTGTTTCTAATAAGCGGCGTCTACTGTTTAACATCCGACGAAGTGTACTGGACGGATTAACAAAAAAAAAAAAAAAAACAAAAAAATAGATTTACTAATATAGTAGAAATATTGTTAATACTATAATATACTAGCTGATCCCGTGCACTTCGTCGCCCGTTAAATGTATCAACTCAATATGACTCAAACTTTGTTCAATTCATTATTCAATATTCGGTATATGGTGTTCAAAATTTATCTTATCTTTTCCGTTGCCCGGAATAAAAATTCTGAATCGCAGCAGTACATTATCAGGTAGGCAATCTACCTGCGGTAGATCGCGGACCCCGTGCTGTTTGATCGTAGAAGGGTGTATGTATTTTTGTATGTTGTATCTATTATTTTTTTTTTTTTTATATATATAACCATTAACCAATACCTTAGCAACCATTTATAAACAATTATTTCTACCGTAAATTATCAAAATCCCTGTTTGAGCACTTCTTTTATTTTTTTCTGAACAACCCTTATCACTTAGGGGTATGAAAAATAGATGTTAGCCGATTCTCATACCTACTGAATATGCACAAAAAATTTCATCAAAATCTGTCAAGCCATTTCGGAGGAGTATGGCAACGAAAACTGTGACACGATAATTTTATATATTATATTTATAAAGTCTGTATATAGTATATACCTAAGTTATAAATAATGTTTGTACCTATTTATCATAATTTGATAAATTGATATTAGACACAACAATAAATATTATACCTATTTTTAATGATAAAATAATTCGTGTTAAAAAAATCAGCCTTATTCCCATGACAAAATCATTTGACCGCCACTAGACATATCAAACGCCGTCGTGCAGTTATTTTTAGGAAACGGTCGATCGTTACGATAGCACCGCCAATACGGCAACGGTGGTCGGTGACTAGCCACCGCATACTGCCGTATGAGACCCTGGTACCGGGGCGGAAAAAATGATTGTGTTTTCTTTCTTGTTGTTGTCTTGTTTCTTTTTGTTGTCTTGTTTTCGCATTTGTATTATGATCCGTCTGAGCGGAACGGAGTGGTTTTACAATGGTGTTTATTTTTTTTTTTTTTATCCTGCAGTATACAAAATTTATATCAGAAGAACTGCTTCGATTTCAATATATACCATAGCATAGTAACAGTAGCATGTTGTGGCAAATTGGATCAAGATATTATGGTACTTTAGACAGGTGATTTTTCGATTTTCTCAACATAGTTATTTAATGCCACGGGAAATATCACCGACAAATTACGAAAAACCGCTAAAAATGGGATTTTAATTTCTAACGCTTTATTTATCACCATAGAAACGAATA